CCACGCAGACAGACCGGGGGTCTGCCGCCGGGGAAGAGGCGACGGTCCACCAGACCACGCAGACAGACCGGGGGTTTGCCGCCGGGGAAGAGACGACGGTCCACCAGACCACGCAGACAGACCGGGGGTCTGCCGCTGGGGAAGAGACGACGGTCCACCAGACCACGCAGACTGACCGGGGATCTGCAGCCGGGGAAGAGACGAAGGTCCACCAGACCACGCAGACAGACCGGGGGCCTGCCGCCGAGGAAGAGGCCGATGCGACATCGTTGCTTCTGTGGGACTTGCACAGGTACGAGCTAACCCTCCCTCGCCTCTGGTAGTGCCGATCTTAGCGCAGAGGATGGGCCGATGCGAACAGCGCATCGCGCGTTACCGCACTCCCCCCCCCCCTTCTCGCGCTGGTTCCGTTTCCACCTGCCACGCCCGCTCCCTGTGCCCGCCACGCCCGGGTCACAGTAACCTCTGAGCGCAGCGGTGGTGGCGGTGTTCACAGGTGGGGCGGGGCAGGGGGGCGGTACCCTGTCGGGAAGCATGACGGGTTGGAATGGCCCGGAGCCGGCGGCGTGGGCTGCCGCTGTGGAACTCTGTCGCCGTAGACTGGGTAACGTTTGACAACGCATCCCGCCTGCCGGTTTCGCACTGCTAATCCTCCGCGGTGCGCAGGCTGTCCCACACTAACCCGTGCGGCGGTGGCGCGGCACGGCCGCGGACGTGCGGCCTTCTCTCGGCTCTCTTGGCTTCCCCGGGGATCCCCGCACTCTGCACGGTCCGCCGCATGCTGGAGTTGTCTGCACGTGTCCCTCACCGCATGCGCCGCTGATGCTTCGCCCCGACCTCACCTCGCCAGGGCGGCTCAGGAGCTGTGTACGGACGCTGGGTGCAGCGACACCTCTGGAGCGGAACAGGTACTAATGCTGCCGCCGGTCGGCGATTTGGTCAGGCTTTCTGTTGCTCGTGTGGCTCAGCAGGCGAGTGGATGCTTTGCTACGCACGTTAACCGTCTCCTGGGTGTAAACCAGGGGCGTCACAGCCTCTACAAGTACCTGTTTCCGGCACCCTCTTGTGTAGATTCGTGGGTACGGTCCAGAGTCGGTTTTGATCTGGTCCCCCGCTTTTCAACGCCTTTATCTACTGACCAACACTCGCTGACACGGCAAGGTTGGTCAGCATTCCTTAATGTTAGCCATACTGGCCAGCATTCCCCGGTATCGACAAAGTCCCGTCCTTGTCACACCAGACACCAACCTAGTGCTGTTGGTGGTGATTAGTCCAGCATTCCCCGGTACCGGCAAAGTCCCGTCCTTGCCACACCGGACGCCAACCTAGCACTGTTGGTGGTGATTAGTCCAGCATTCCCCGGTACCGGCAAAGTCCCGTCCTTGCCACGCCGGACACCAACCTAGCACTGTTGGTGGTGATTAGTCCAGCATTCCCCGGTACCGGCAAAGTCCCGTCCTTGCCACACCGGACACCAACCTAGCACTGTTGGTGGTGATAGTCCAGCATTCCCCGTACAGCGAAGTCCCGTCCTTGCCACGCCGGACACCGACCTAGCACTGTTGGTGGTGATTAGTTCAGCATTCCCCGGTACCGACAAAGTCCCGTCCTTGCCACACCAGACACACCAACCTAGCAATGTTGGTGGTGATTAGTTCAGCATTCCCGGTACCGACAAAGTCCCGTCCTTGCCACACCAGACACACCAACCTAGCACTGTTGGTGGTGATTAGTTCAGCATTCCCGGTACCGACAAAGTCCCGTCTTTGCCACACCGGACACCAACCTAGCACTGTTGGTGGTGATTAGTCCAGCCTTCCCCCGTGCTGGCAAAGTCCCGTCCTTGCCACACCGGACACCAACCTAGCACTGTTGGTGGTGATTCCGTGCCGGCTGCCATGCCGCAGCACCGCAGGCGTGCCTGTCCCGCGAAGATCCGTCCCGCTGCATGATTGCTCCGGGCGTGGGCTCCTCCCCGCTGAGGGACGGCCGGTGCCTTCGCCGAAGGCACCCGTGAGATGCCGCTTTTTGTTTGTGACGGGGATTTATGCTGGAAGGCTTATCTCTGCACCATCCGCCGATATTTGTTGATAAATCCTCAGTTGAAGCTGTGAGCAGGTATTCACCGACCTTGAATACCGGCGTTGTGGTTTAGAAGGGATTTGACGAACTTGGGACCTAGGCCAATTGTAAGCCGAGGGGGAGGCCAGCTTGTTCAGTGGAGTTTAATCTATGCTGGCGCTGCTGTAATGTGTACCAACTGCAAAGTGTCATCCACTAAAGCCGTGTTTTCATCCCAACCTGATCAAACTCTGCAGGTACAGCATTGTGCCATCTGAATTTCGAGAACCGCAGGTATTACGATATCCATTATTTTTGCTAGTGAAGAGTTTGTTTTCAGCTGTATTGCCTTATGCATTATGCGCTTATGACATTTGCTCAACCACGAAAAACATCACCGATATGGGAAGAGTGAAAGTTTGGATCGTAGAAGTTGGTAAGGCAAAAGTTCGCGGGGCTCAAGTTTATCGGGCCGAAGTTCGTCGTTTAAAAGTTTGTGTGGGATGAAAGCCTGTGTAGAAGTTAGTCTGGGACGGAA